GTTTTTTTGCACAGGCTAATTAAAGGCAAAGCCACCCATGCTGATGTCATTGGCAGTCTAGAAACCCACTTGGTTATCTTTATTGTGTCTAATGTACTCACACAGACAAAAATGTCTCCATCCCCAAACCAAACCGAGCATCTGGCATTGTTTCCTGGCCAGATATACAGACGCAGCTATGAAGAAGCAGCTCAGATTCCCCACAGCCAGGGAGATGCCTCGGGGAGAGACTGATCCTGTCTCGAGAAGCCTCTGTTAAGCTAAAAGCATGGTCAGCATAGGGAGAACTGCAGAGGGGGGTAGAAACAGAGCATGTGGTGAGAAAGAAGAGGGGGGGGTAGTGGAGGGTGTCGGGTCATTTTATGAGAGGCACATCAGAGTCTGCATTTACCCCTTCCCAGAGGAGAGCACCAAAGACAAGGGACAGGCATCTCCAGACATCACAATCTTGATGTTTCCCCATAAAAATTTGGAGAAAAGTTTAAATACTGACCAGTTATAGGTGTGTCCATGTTTCCCAGAGTGCCCTTATTGTGGGTTATTTGTCATCTACTAAAGTCTACGTCTAACCACTTGTCCCAAGAGGGAATTGGGAATAACCTGTATGAATGAAATCCATAGGTGGCCCGCAGTCTCATTCCTCTCCCAGAACTCAGGCAGGAAAATAGGGGTTGAGCTTAACATATGTCTGAGTCATTTGTTAAACATTTCTCCTGTGAGGCACAAGGCTCACTGCCAAGGGTCCAAAGAAAAACAAAATAAATGGATTCTACTCTTAAAGAGCTCACAGGCTACTGGAGGAAACACTTGAACAGATGTAACACAATAAATTATAATATAAAAATGTAGAAGGGGAAAAAAAGATTAAATGAGATAATGCATGTAAAAAACAGGCACATAGTACTAGCATAAGGATAGACATATAGGTAAATGGAATAGAATTGAGAGTCCAGTAATAAACCCTCATGTTTATGGTCACTTGATTTTTGACAAGGATGCAAGACAGTTTTATTGGGGAGAAATAGTCTTTTCAAAAAATGATGCTAGAGCCCAGCCGGGCGTGGCTCAGTGGTTGAGCATTGACCTAGGATCCAGGTGATCAGGGTTCGATTCCTGGTCAGGGCACAGGCCCGGGTTGCGGGCTGCAGCCGATCAATGAGTCTCTCATCATTGATGCTTCTATCTCTCTCTCCCTCTCTCTCCCTCTCTCTGAAATCAATAAAGATATATTTAAAAAAAAAAAAAAATGATGCTAGAACAACTGGCTATCTACATATAAAAGAATGAAGTTATATCTGTACATTCACACCATACACAAAAAATAATTCAAAATGGATCAAAGATATAAATGTAAGAACTGAACTACAAAACTTAGAAGAAAACATGCGTATAAATCTCCATGACTTTGGATTAGGCAATGGTTTTCTAGACAGGATGTCAAAAGGGCAGGCAACTCCCCCCAAAAACAAACAAACATACATTGGACTCTTCAAAATTAAACTTATGTTTCAAAAGGCACCATCAAAAGTGTAAAAAGAGCCCAGTCATGAGAGGCTCACGGGTGAGCATCGACCTAGGATCCAGGAGATTGTGATTCGATTCCCAGTCAGGGCACTTGCCCGGGTTGCTGGCTCGATCCCCAGTAGGGGGCGTGCAGGAGGCAGCCGATCAATGACTCTCTCATCATGGATGTTTCTATCTCTCTCTCCCCCCCTCTCCCTTCCTCTGAAAACAAAGACATTTTTTTCTTACGTAAAATGATGAACCACAGTATGCGAGAAAATATTTGCAAATAATATGTATGATAAAAGACTTGTATCTAGAATATATAAGGAATTATTACAACTCAATAATAAAAGGACAAATAACCAAATAAATTTTAAAAAGCAAATGATAAATAGACGTTTCTCTAAAGATAGACAAATGGCCAATAAGCACATGAAAAGGTGCTGAATATCATTGAAATTCAGATAAAAACCACGATGAAATATCACTCCGTACCTGTCAGGATAGCTATAATAAAAAGCAAGATGACAACAGGTGTCAACAAGGACATGGAGAAATTGAAACCCTTGGACACTGATGGTGGATGTAAAATTGTGCATCTGCTCTGGAAAACAGTCTGGCAGTTCCTCAAATAGATTAATATCGGGGTGAGTACAGGGGGAAAGCATGAGGAGTGACTGCTAATGGTCCTGGAGTTTCTTCCGGCAGTGATGAAAATCTTCTAGAACTAATTACGGAGGTGGGTGTGTGAATTATAGCTCAGTAAAGCTGTTGTTTTTAAGTAATGCAGAGGACGCAAGACCTAAATCATCCATCTATTAGCTCTCCAGAGTCAATGTAGCCTGGTGTTTAAGAGCAAGGGCTTTGCATTCTCCATCTGAATAAAGGTCTTGGCAGCACCCTTATCTGTCCTAGTGCCCTGGGGCAGCACTTACCCTCTCTCAGCCTCCGTTTTTGAGTCTATAAAGTGGGGATGATGATAGCCACTCTCTTATTTCTGCCTTTGTAGTGATGCCCATGCAGCACTCCCTGAATGCTGCCTTACGGGCTGATTCCACTCCTCAGATTTTTGAAAATGTTCCTTATTTCTAATGTAATGAATTTTGCTCAATGGCGTTCTCATCGTCTCCCTCGGACCATATGTGCCATTTCTTCTCTGTGAAGCTATCCTATTCTAAGGGGTTACCCTAAGCGCCCCATAAATTACACCAACTTTTCATGGGGAAGCCAGTACACACACACGTCCTGATTCCTCATGCAGTGTTCTTTCCCTGCTGAACTCTCCCCATGCTGACCCTGCTGGTCTCAGGGCCCTTTTCCACTCACCTGTTCTAAAACTTAGCCATCTCTGATAGTTTTTGTTCATTGATCTGCCCTTCCCACCTCCAGTTCATCACTGAAGCTCCCCCAAGACCTTCAGGTCGACATGCCTAAATGGTAGATAGAGTCCTTCAAAAAAATAATGATGAGAGGGTCTCTTCTCAATGAATTTCTAAATATGCTTCTACTTTTCGTATAGGCCAGTGAGCTCAATACCTGCATGCAGTCCGTCTTACAGGAGTGGAAGGTTTATGATAAACTCTATGATGACATGAATATGATGACAGTTCGACTCCAGTACTGTGTGGGACACAGCAAGCCTGCGGCTTTGTCATTGGAGGCCCTGAGATGCCAGGTGCAGAGCCTGCAGGTAAATGACCCAGATCTTGGCACAGCATGGCAGATTGGCAGCTAATCTCCAGTGGAAGCTGGCACAGTCACGGACACAGCTGTGTTGGTGCTCTCCAGAGAGAAGCACAAAACAGTATTTTAAATGCCAGCATCAAAAGTATAGCTTGAAATTCTGAGATGAATCACATGAGCCAAATGAGCGAGACTTTGTAAAAGTTTACATTGATTTTTTTCTTTGTTTTTAATGCTCGTATCACTTTACAACGTAAAGGTTTTGAGTTTGGGCAGGTTTTTCTTTTAAGTACACTTTTAAAAGTTTTTGTCTCAAATAAATGAATGCCTTTTCAGTTGTTTTCCTCTTCACATTTCTGACCATTTATCGCAGTCCCGTCCAGGTTTGTGTTGTGATACACAGCAAGTGTTGAAAAGCTGCTGCCTCCTTCCAAATCAGCCAGGCCATTCTGAAATTAATTCCTGCTCTGTTCTCTTAGTCTCTTCAAGACGAAGCGGAGAGCAGCGAAGGGAGGTGGCAGAAGCTCCAGGAGGCTATTGGAAGACTCAGAGGTTACTGCCCCTCAGTTGCTGAAATAATGGAGGAGAAATGCCAGCATGCTCACACAAGGTACTTATTGCATTAAGGTACACTTTGAATAATAGATATCTTAATTACATGTGCTAAATGAAGTGTCCTGGGCCTTGGAAAGTCTAATCTTCTTAATCACCCGAGATGACTGGTTTCATACTGTTCTGGCCTCTGCAGTTTCCAAGGATCTAATTCATGTCCGATTTGATGTTGTGAAGGCTGTTACCTGCTCTGTTCAAGCGTTTGGTACAGTCAGTCTAGAAATACCGAAATTACAGCGCCGGAGTAGAAGGCTAAATGACCAGTGTAATCCTCAGGGACACCAAAATCCCAGGCAGAATCAGACTGGGGCTGGCCAGAGGGGCGTTCTGTTCCACGGGAGGCATCATAAGGTGGGAGAAAGGGGGCTTTAGGACACCTTCCGGGAAGTGGTTTGTGCGCTCAGAAGGGATTTATTTACTTATTATTTTCAATCCTCACCCAAGGAATGAGGGTATTATTTCCATTGTTTTTTTTGTTTTTGTTTGTTTTAGAGAGAGTGGAAGGGAAGGGGGGAGAGAGAGAGGTGGGGGGGGGAGAGAGAGAGACATCGTTTGGCTGCTTCCTCCCCCCCAGCAGGGGTGGGGATCGAACCTGCAACTCAGGTATGTGCCCCTGACTGGGAATCGAACCCAGGACTCTCCGGTGCGCCGGCCAACGCTCTAACCCCTGAGAATGCCGGCGAGGGCTGGGAAGGGATTTTTGATGAAGCGCAGGTGGCAGAAAGCTCCTTAAGAAGTGTGGCCCTGGTTCATTGCAAGGCTTTTGTTTTTTTGAGTGGGATATGAAAGTTGACCTAAAGCTGATGTGGTGATGGGAAAGAAAGGCAACAATCTGCATATGGGATGAAAACCATTTCCTTTATGTTAGGGATGTGTGGCTTTTGTAATTGGAGAATAAATTTGTCATAAACACAGTTTAAATAGGCCTATTTAAAGACCCACCCTCTATAAAGTAGGAGCCCCTCCCATGTGGAGAAGTTTCATCAGGCGTACGTATAGTTCAGTACTTTCTCCACATTTGCCTAAGAGACATTCATACTACAATAGATATTTCTTGCCAGTCACAAATTTTGTAATTTTTGTTGAGAATTATAGTCAGTTAAATATTTGGATTTGGACTTCTGTTTTTTACTAATTGCACTATCAATATATAAAGGCATTTAACAGTTGTTATCTCAACAATCCAGCTGCTGTTAACTCACCAGTAAAGTGTGTGCATTGAGCTTTTGCTGCAAGGGAAAGGATGGGATCAGGGACCTGTTCATGTTGCCCTGACAGGTGGACGCAGGTAAACCAGGACATTGCAGACCAGTTGCAGACGGCCCAGGGTCTGCTACAGCTCTGGAAGGCCTACACCAGTGCTCACACTGAGGCCGTAACAAAGCTGGAACAGCAGGAAGCAAAGTACCACCAGCTTGCAAACATCAACATGTCTGGAAACAACCTGGCAGAGGTCCTGAACCCAGCCCTGCAGGATATAAAGGTGAGTGCAAAGCCCATTGGGGAAACCAAGGGCTAAAACCCAGGGACTGGACAGAGCACAAGGACAGAGAAGTGGGTCAGGACAGGTGCATGAGCAGGCTGTGTAGGACATGGGCAGGACTGGGATGTGTGGGGTTGGGAGGGCCAGGTGGAGGCTCGGAGGCCAGGGCCAGGCAGCAGGTAGCTGGGTCAGGGGCACCTGACACCATCTGGTTCCAAGCCGCCTCTTTCAGTCTAGCAGGAAAAATCTCTAAAGCAAAAGCCTCATGCAAAGTCTCAAATAAAAGCAAAAGTATCTCAACTGAGTGTGATTAAGAATAATAGATATTGAATCTCTCGCTTTAGAAATAATCATCAAAAAAAGATAATTATGGACTTGCCTCCATGTTGATAGGGCTTTTCTGTAGTTACAGTGATATTTAGACTATATTTAAGAGCTGCATAATTTCCTCTGTGGTTTTATCCTATTGTGTTGATGAAGGCCCAGAAAGTGACTACTTTCAACATTTAAACTGGCTGCCTTTTATATCTTCTGATACTATAGGGCAAACCAAAAAGTATTAACCAGTTTAATAAGAGTGACAGGAATCCAACAAATGTGATCTGTATTTCTGATCTACTTCTACCTGATTTGTTATTTAAAAAAGAAAAACAAACGACACATTCACACACACAGTATTTCCAGAGCAGCCTTAAAATCTGCTTGGTTAATGAGATTCTGTAGTCTCTGCAAGTAAATCCATTTATGTCACAAAGTCTCAGAGGACAGGGTTGCATGGATCCTTAAATGGCATTAAAGCAGATTCCTAAAGTGTTCGATGATTATAAAACACAGGACTCACCCAGGTGATCTCCAGTTTCTAAAAACTTGAAGCCCCAACTCTATTGGTCAGTGGTCAGTTTTCTCCCTGAACTGGCAGATTTTAGAGCAGTGCCAGTGATGCGCGCCAAGTAAAAAAAGCTTAGCTTTTCAGCTCCTTAGAAATAAACAATAACAAAAAGCCATGCCCACAATTTCCCGGGCAGAAATTCTCCTAGATGTTGATGGAGTCATAGGGGTGGGGATTCTTGTAGTGGAAGGAAGAGGAGATGTTTGGGGATCACTTTTTCTTTTCTAGGAGCTGCAGCATGAGGTGCAGAAGACAAAGGAAGCCTTTCTCCAAAATGCCACTCTCCTGGATCGACTCCCACAACCCGCCGAGTCGGACACCCATGTGCTCCTCTCCGGTCAACTGCACTCCCTCCAAAGGGCTTCCTACTTGGAAAAGATGCTGCTTGTGAAAGCAAATGAATTTGAGGTTCATCTTATTTTTTCATTCAAGTTGTAGGATTGGACATTTGCCCATTACCCTCAATTCCTTATATCCTATGACATAGTAGTCATCCATGCTTTGTGGGCTGCTCCTTAGGGCAACTGCAGAACAGAGCTGCCCCTGAAGATATCTGTCATTGGACATGATTCTTCAAGCATGTGATTTTTCCATCACATGGGCAATGGGCAGATCTTAAGCACCCATTTCTTCTTTATGGAACATGTTAGTTTAAGAAGTCATATATTTCATATCCTATTCAGATCTCAACAGTTATTTGGATCTCCAAGTGGGGTGATTGGGTTACAGGCCATTTGCTATATTCTGCTTTCACGTTTTGAAGAGCCTTTTGTGTACGCACTGTCAAAAAGCCTCATGGGAGGCCATGGAACTCCAGTGTCACATCTCAATAGCAGCAGGGAGAAAGTATTTAAGTAGCAGGTCTGAGGGAGCAGAGTACATCCCGACCTTCCTCTGCACGGCCCCCTCAAGCGGGTGGGCCATTCACCCCTGGAGGCTCAATGCTTTGCCAAAGGCACAGAATGGAAAGCAGGAGTATTCTAAGTGTTCAAGACAGTAATGCTCTGCTGGGGGTTGAAAACAACCTGAGCCTTGATCAGCTCCGAGAGCTGTGCTTAGTTATGTTCTGTCTGCTCATGAAAATTGTTTCTAATAAAAATTGCTCTCGTTCTAGTTTGTTCTATCACAGTTTAAGGATTTTGGGGACCAGTTGGAATCTTTGAAAGGCCATATAACGCATGAAGAAGAGAATTTGAATAAACTCTACCAACAAGAAAAAGAAAAAAATCCTGACTCGCTCCTGGTATTGTCAATTTTTATCATTTCTAAGTGTTTAGGTTCACCATAGAATAAAAAAAATAAGCTAATTACTGTCACAGTATAAAATCTGTTTGTATCATAACTCTTATACACAGTAATTTATATGTCATTCATTCTTGCCCTATTTTCCCTCAGCTCTGGAAAAGTATGACAACATAGGGATCTATTTTAGTAATATGCCACGGCAATTTTAGTGGATTTTTAACTTTTGCTGTCTTTACTAATTAGCTTCAGTCAACTAGAATAATCTAGGAATTGGCTGTTGCGATTAATTAAATCTTTCTAGTTAGTCGAAGATCAGATGTAAAATACCCTATTAAATTATTTGTATCTATTTTGACTTATTAGCTTAGTAAGTTTAATATGGTCAACATAAATGAATGGGAGAGTTAAAGAACACTGGGCCCTGTATATCCCTAAGTACCAGTCCTCATAACCCAGATCAGGGGTGAGGAACCTATGGGACACGCTCATCCCCTCCCATTTATATGTTGTTCTGTGAAATTTTCATGCTACAGGGCAGAGATGAATAGTTTGACAGAGATCACTTGACCCATACAGGGGTAAAATATTTATGACCTAGCTGTTTACAGGAAAATCTTGCTGACCCTGATGACCTAGACTATTACAGCAGAGTTTTGTAGTGACAATGTGGGTGTTGTAAAGGATGTTTGCTTAACATACTGTCGACCTAGAGGCTGTCCCTGGAATATCATTGTAAAAATAACATTTTGATGCGTTTGCATTCTTATATGATTTTACCTTCTACCAAAATACAGCTGTTTAAGTACCGTGCTTTACTAGGGTTATTTTAAGGATTACGTTTTCATTTGGTTTGTAGGTAAACTGCATGATCTGCTGAAGGTTAAGTTGTTGGCAGACCAAAAGGGATTTGAAGGTCCTTAATGAGTCCTTAAAAAAAAAAAAAGCTTACTTTCATATTCCCCAAAGACAAAATCTGAGGTTACTTTCTATTTTTTGGGCTGTTTAGGTTCTGGCTGTGAGCGTAGCTTGTCATTCTAGAAAAGCCACAGGATCAAGAGACCTGAGTTCAGGTCCAGTTCTAACACTAACCAGCTATTTGACTAGGGACAGGTCACTTACTCAGGGAGACCCCAGTTTTCCCTCATCTTTGAGATAAGGGTGGTCTACAGGATCTGTGACCTTTTCATCATATAGTCATTGTTATCCACAAACCTGGGATTTTTTTTTCTTTTAAATAGAATCATGTGCTGGCACTGGCAGCCCACTCTCCTGATGCTGAGCATCTGAATGAAGTAAGCCTCAAACTCCCACTTAGTGACGTGGCTGTAAAGACATTGCAGAATATGAACCGGCAGTGGATTCGGGCCACAGCGACAACGCTGGAACGCTGCAGGTCAGAACAGCCCACCTCTCCTGTTCTGTTTCAGTTCAGGTAAAATGAACAGCTTGAGCTCAGGAAGGTCATTGTTACGTGGCTTTGTTTTATTTGTTTTTAAACCTTTATAGTGAGCTTCAGGGAATTCGATTGAATGAGAAATTTCTTCACTGCTGTGAAAAGTGGGTCCAACTTTTGGAGAAGGTAGAAGAGATGCTCAAGAAGGATATTGCTGACGGTCTTCCAGCTCTCCTGGAACAGCAGAAGACATATGAGGTGCCCCTGTGCTCTCTGCCACCCTCGGACCTCTCACCCTAGGGCAGGAGTCAGGGAAAGGTGGATTTAAATAAAAATACAGAGAGTGCCTATCAGTGTATGTCTAAGCAGATTCTGTTGTCAGGTGATCACGTGTAAAATTCTTACACATTTCACAGTTTTCAACATTTCATCTCATTGCTCTGTTTTAGTAATGACAGAACTCCTAGATTTTCTGCAGTAAGTGGAATCTTCTAGCACAACTTTGCTTCCACAGAATGCAAACATTACCCCACTTTACCAAGAGCTTGTTAAAGCACTTAACTCATCTTTGCATTTTACTGAATAATTCTCTAAAACAGAATGATAATTGCATTGTTAATAATTTCTCAGAGGAGCATCCCCACACTTGCATTCATGTTTATTTAGACATACTCTTGGTGGTTATAGGCAGATCGTGCCTTTTAAAGTGGGCATGATTAGTTCGCTGCATCTTTTTAACGTAACTGATTTAAGTCTGCATTGTCACATCATCCAGTGAAAAGGAAATCCTTCCAGCCAAAAAGCTGAGTGACCTTGAATATGTTACTGAACTTCCTTATACCTTAGCTTCCTCCTCTTCAAATGGGTATTATAATACTACTTAGGTAGGAATAAGTGAGACAATGCATGTGTTACATGGTGCCTAGCAAATAGCAAATGTCCAATAAACAGGCCTTAATCACAGTTATTGTTGGATCTTTTCCCCTCTAAGATTATATTTATAGGTGCTATTGATGTGATAGTTGAGCACTTTTGCAGTTAAACTCCAATAATTTGAAAATTGATCACTTTCAGATGTCCTCTGGGAGCTTAGATTTTAATAGGAAATATAAGGGCCAGATTCATAAAATTAATTCTACAATCTGATATTTTATATTTTAATTCACATACAGATGTTAGAAGCTGAAGTTTCTATAAACCAGACAATTGCTGATTGCTATGTCACCCAGTCCTTACAACTCTTGGACACAACAGAAATAGAGAAAAGGTAAGGTTTCTGGGGCGCGTGTGTGTGTGTGTGTGTGTGTGAGAGGGAGAGGGAGAGGGAGAGATGGGGGTCATGCAGTCGGAGCAGGCCTTCACTACGTGAATCTTGACCATGTCAGCACCCTGTGGCCATGTCAGTTGATGGACCACCATAGGGTGAGTCTTCTGACAGTATTGGGATGAGTTCTTGCTATGTGGCCATAGAAACCATGGGAGCAGTCTCTCCTATAGTAGGTGAGTGGGGTTAGCAGACCAGACCCACTCGCCAAGTACAGTTAACTAAATTTATACCCCAAAGGATCCTTCTGTAGAATGTTTTCCTCTCTACCTTCAGCCTCATGATGTTTTGCTATTTAAAAAATAATTCTGGAAGTGCTACTCTTCCCAGCAAGTAACTCTGTCGCAGTTCTGAAAGAAGGGACTTCTCCCTGTGTGGTATACATGGGGTTGAGGTCACTGGGCAGTGCCAGTCAGGCTGAGAAGAGCCCCTTAGTCCATCCTGGTAACAATAACTGAACCTGCAACACAACAGGTTCACGTGGCAGGCAGAGCCCAGAGGAGCCCTGGCCTGTTGAATACTTCTCCCAATGTCCTGGTAGGGATGGTTTTCCTCCCCATCACCCCCCATATACCTCTGCATCATCCAGCATAACTAAGAAATATAAAGCCCATGTCTTCCTAGCTCTGAAGCAGTAGAGTCAGGCCAGTTCCAGGATGATCAACTAGGTTTGGTTTGATCAGTACAGCAAAGCATGACTTTCCCCAAATAAATAGAAGGCCTTATTTTTCATGTGAAAGGTGTCACCTTCATGTGAAAGGTGTCACCTAATTGAGGAGTTGCAGAAAGCATGCTTTATTGCTGAAATTATATAAAGTATAACCTTCAAGCAACAGACATTACCAGGTACCCACCTGTTCATCTCTTTCCCATCCAGTGTGTAGTTTTCTATACAGCGTTTGGCATAATGAAAGTTAAAACAGCTCCCATTTGTATAAAGAATGGTTGTGGTGCATGCTGGCAAAGTACCCAGGTCATGTGCAAGTATCTTCTGCTAAAAGTTTTTTGCCAACCACATGCTCCCCCTGTTCCAACTCTAGGTTCCCCATCACATTTGAGTGGTGCTAAGAGTTTAAGAAGTTTGTTTTTCATGTAAATTGCCCATATCAATAGTAAAGCTGAATTTCTATGATGCTGTGATAGTTATTTTTTCTACCTGTTCATGTCCGGATGCTCTAACCATCTGTTTTCCCCCAAGACCGGAATTTATTTCGAAGCTCACGAAGCTGAAGGCCCGATGGCAGAGCGCTGCCCAGAGCGTGCGGCAGAGGAGGAGAGCGGTTGGTGGGCTGGTGAGGAAGTGGCGGTGTTTCTGCACCTCCCAGGAGGACTTGCTCCGCTTCCTGACTGACACCAGCCACCTGCTGTCTGCAGTCAAGAGCCAGGACTGCCACAGTCTCTGCGAAACCAGGAGTCTGATCCATAAGCTGAAGGTAGCATGCGCACAGCAGTGTGGGAACCACAGGGTGGCCACTGTGTGGGAGACGTTCACTCACTTCAGATTTTATGTTTTCTGTGATGTCATGGTTCAGGTGTGCTCTCTGCAATGGGAGACCACAGGGCTAGGGTCCCTGCCCTGCGGGGCCAGAAACCCAATCTTACCCATCCACCCATGAGGAGTGAGGCTCCCTTGGGCTGGGGGAGTCGGGTTGGAGTGGAGATGGGTGGGTCGAGTGGGGGAAGTTTGGGGTGACAGACTCAACCCACCCGGGCTTTTAAGGTACGAAGTAATGTATAAGTTGACCACCAGTGGGGTAGTTTACGTGGAACTCTTGCTTGCTTTGAAAGGCAAATTCATTTAGGCAACAAAGTTTTCAATCAGAAAGTTGCTTGATGAGCATAGGACTAGGGTAGTTAATTGGCAATTCCCAGGGCATGTTCCGTTGAGCTACAGAACTACCCTGCAGGGGTGCAGCTAAACCAAACACCAGCCTTCTGCAATCCTGTGCTTTCCTCATTCATTGTTCAGTCATCAAATATTGAGGATCTGCTCCGTGCCATTCACTGTTCTAAGTGCTGGAGGCACGGTGTCCACAAAGAGAAGACCCCCACTCTCGGGGCAGCCAGACAAATTGATAAATAAGAAAATAGCAGATTGCAATAAGGCAGAATCTGTGTGCAGAATTAGAGCAGGGCCGGTAATGGAGGGCCTGGGTGGGGCTACCTTAGACGGGGTGATCTCTGGGAATGTGACATTTAAACTGGAGCCTGAGTGGTGAGAAGCAGCCAGCCAGACAGAGGTCTGGGGAAAGAGCCTTTCTGACAGGAGATGAGTGGCTTTCCCAAATTCCCCACGATGGGAACGAGCTTATCAAAACCGAGGAACAGAAAGAAGGCTAGTAGGACAGGAGCACAGCGAGTGGGGCCGCAGTGACAGGAAACGAGTTCGAGAAGCCCGTGGGGAGGAGCATTTCTTGGGGAAGGGGTGGTGGCTGGGTTAGCCCCCATGTAATAGGAGACCGTTGGAGAGTTTCTGTTGGACGAGGGGGCAGCGTGATTCTCTTTGGACTTTTTAAAGATCCTCTGGCTGCTCTGAGGAGGGTGGGTGCTGGAGGAGCCAAAGGAAAAGCAGGAGCCCCGTACATTTCCTGTCTATTGCTGCCTAACAGCCATCGCTGATGATTGTCGCTCTCGGTTCTGCGGGTTNCTTACCCATCCACCCATGAGGAGTGAGGCTCCCTTGGGCTGGGGGAGTCGGGTTGGAGTGGAGATGGGTGGGTCGAGTGGGGGAAGTTTGGGGTGACAGACTCAACCCACCCGGGCTTTTAAGGTACGAAGTAATGTATAAGTTGACCACCAGTGGGGTAGTTTACGTGGAACTCTTGCTTGCTTTGAAAGGCAAATGCATTTAGGCAACAAAGTTTTCAATCAGAAAGTTGCTTGATGAGCATAGGACTAGGGTAGTTAATTGGCAATTCCCAGGGCATGTTCCGTTGAGCTACAGAACTACCCTGCAGGGGTGCAGCTAAACCAAACACCAGCCTTCTGCAATCCTGTGCTTTCCTCATTCATTGTTCAGTCATCAAATATTGAGGATCTGCTCCGTGCCATTCACTGTTCTAAGTGCTGGAGGCACGGTGTCCACAAAGAGAAGACCCCCACTCTCGGGGCAGCCAGACAAATTGATAAATAAGAAAATAGCAGATTGCAATAAGGCAGAATCTGTGTGCAGAATTAGAGCAGGGCCGGTAATGGAGGGCCTGGGTGGGGCTACCTTAGACGGGGTGATCTCTGGGAATGTGACATTTAAACTGGAGCCTGAGTGGTGAGAAGCAGCCAGCCAGACAGAGGTCTGGGGAAAGAGCCTTTCTGACAGGAGATGAGTGGCTTTCCCAAATTCCCCACGATGGGAACGAGCTTATCAAAACCGAGGAACAGAAAGAAGGCTAGTAGGACAGGAGCACAGCGAGTGGGGCCGCAGTGACAGGAAACGAGTTCGAGAAGCCCGTGGGGAGGAGCATTTCTTGGGGAAGGGGTGGTGGCTGGGTTAGCCCCCATGTAATAGGAGACCGTTGGAGAGTTTCTGTTGGACGAGGGGGCAGCGTGATTCTCTTTGGACTTTTTAAAGATCCTCTGGCTGCTCTGAGGAGGGTGGGTGCTGGAGGAGCCAAAGGAAAAGCAGGAGCCCCGTACATTTCCTGTCTATTGCTGCCTAACAGCCATCGCTGATGATTGTCGCTCTCGGTTCTGCGGGTTGTTAGGGCTCTGCCAGGTGACTCTGGCTTAGGGTGTCAGGCTGTTTCAGTCAGACCACGGCACTGGCTGGGCTCATCTGAAAGCCCACCCGCTCCTGTGACTAGCACCTAGCGGGGAAGGTCAGCCAGCCAGCAACTGGAACCGCAGGGGCTTCTTGGGCACCATTCCTGTGGTCCCTCCACATGGAAGCTTCTTACATGGCAGCTCATGGCTTCAAAGGCACATGTCGCAAGAGAGAGAAATCCGGGGAGAAGCTCTGCTGCCTTTCAGACCCAGCCTTGGAAGCCACCTGTGTCACTCCCACCATCTCTATTAGCCGAGGCCATTACACGTGCCCATGCGGGGTCAAAAGGAGGGGACGGAGGCACCGCCACTGGATGGCCAGTGACACGGTTCTGGAAGAGCACGTGGGGCGGGGAATATTGCTGTGGCCTTTTTGTAAAAAATACAGGCTGCCACATCCAGTTAGGCTGTTTCGGTAGTCTCGGAGAGTTGTTATGGGGGACAAGACGAGGGTGATCCCAGTGAAGAAAACAAAGGATATGTGTGTGGGTAGTGTTGGCAAGACGTGCTCACGGTGTGGATGTGGCACAGAAGTAAGAATCTGAATCAGGATGACTCGGTTCCTGGCGTGAGCACCGTGGTGAGTAGGGTGCTGCTGACCGAGTCGGGAAGACTGGAGGAAGAGCAGGTCTTTTGTTCAGTGACGTTTGAGATGGCTTAAGTAAGTCCCTTTTTTTCTTTTTTTAGAATAAAGAAACTCATTTTGAGAGACGGCAAACCACCTACGAGCTAACCTTGGAAGCTGGGGAAAAGTTACTGAACATAGCTGGCCTGGAAAGTAAAGAGTCTATTGAGAAGAGAATCGGCCGACTTCAGGACAGCTGGAAGGACACAAAGCTCCAAGTGGGAGAGATGATTAAACACTTCCAGAGCGTCGTAGAGGTAAACTCACCGTTTCCTTTCCCACTCATGATCCTCAAACGCAGCACATGGAATGTTCGTTTGCTATGTGACAATGGGAACGATTATGGGGTGATACTGTGAATTTTCCAGAGGACCTTGAGTCCTACTACTCCGTGAATCATGCCACTTAATGTAGAATAATAATAATAACAGCATTGAAAAAGCTCAATATTAAGTATATAAATACTTGAGGTTCTATTTATATTTACTTTTATGAAACAGGGAACTTACTTTTTTAAAAATACGTTTTATTGATGTTAGAGAGGGAAGGAGGGAGGGAGGAAGAGAGAGAATCATCGCTGTGAGAGAGAACCATCAATCTGTTGCCTCCCATGTGCCCCGACCGAGGATGGAGCCGGCAACCTTTTGGTGGACGCGACAACACTCCAACAGCTGAGCCCCCGGCCAGGGCAAAACAGGAAACGTATTCATGTTCAGTGGAAGTTCAGTGCACCACGTTAGTGTTCCACACGTGGTCTGTCCTTGGGTGTAGTATATGAAAGTAAGGACAGTGATACTTCATCTTTCTGTTATCGTCAGAAAATGCAGTTTTGTGTATGAGTGAATTTCACAGTTAATTTATGATTATATCTTTAAGAACTGGAAGGCTCTTTTGAGTCATTATTAGGAAAGTCATTCTTTTGTGATGCTAAAATACCAAGGTTTTCTCAAGGACTCTGAGCTGCTTCGAACACAGACCCGACAGTACTGTGCTCTGTGAGGTCTTATGTGGTTTTTATGGTTTCCTTTGTATATATTTAATGTGAAGCTATCTATTTTTACTTTTTGTTTCTCTGAGCATACCTACTCCTTATAGCCCACTCTCCTCTCTAAACTGCGTGTGCGTGTGCGTGTGCGTGTGCGTGTGTGTGTGTGTGTGTGTGTGTGTGTGTGTGTAGACCAGATAACCAAGCTTGTCAGAGATGTTTTTCTGCATAAAGAATAAGTATGTCCCGCCCAGCTTGGCGTGGCTCAGTGGTTGAGCATAGACCTAGGATCCAGGAGATGGTGGTTCGATTCCCGGTCAGGGTACATGCCCAAGTTTCGAGCTCGATCCCCAGCAGGGGGCGTGCAGGAAGCAGCCAATCAGTGATGACTCTCTCATCATCGATGTTTCTCTCTCTCTCTCTCTCCCCCTCTCTCCCTTCCTCTCTCTAAAATCAATAAAGAGATATAAAAATCAAAAAAAAGAGAGAGAGAGAGAGATTAAGTATGTCCCGAGTTAGGGCCTGAGCATCTCTCTTGTAAACAAAGTATCTGAATTTTCTCTGGTATACAAACTGCAAAATTCACTAGTTAGCAAACATTAGTTGAGCACCTGCCATGTTAGTAAAGCAAACATGTTTGTAAAGCAAACGAGGGGAGATGCCGCTACCGGTTTGGGGGGGGGGGTGAGGACTCGTAGTTTTCTCTTTTCTTTCTTGGTTTTGTTCTAGAGAATTGATGTTGCTGGACTAGTGGCCTCCCCTTACATGAGGTGTCACCATAGAATCGGGCCAACCCAAGTATGTTTAGGCAGCATTTGTACTGAGGGTTAAAATAGGATTTGATTTTATGTTTGTCTGCTTTTAGTAACCTCAGGAGTAGAAATTGACCCTAATGAATCAATTGTAAACACCCTGAACGTGGAAATGCAGGCGACTGTTTGCTCAGTAATGTAACGTTAAAGGAAAAACAGATGGTGCGAAAGAATGGCCCTGGGGGGTGGGGCACCTGCAGCCTTAGGTCACCTGACCAAGCTGCTTCTAACCTCATATCCTTGGCCACTCAGTTTTCTCTGGGCCTCAGTTTTCACATTTTAAATGTGATAATAATAATATAGTACTTGCCCTGTCTCCTAAGGTTATTGCAATTACAATAAAACAGTGAAGCTGAAAATGCTTTAGAAATTGTAAAGTGCTTTTAGCAGAAGGTGGCTGTCTGCTCACTGGTGAGAGATGGAGAGCGAGTGAGGCTTGATAGCGAAAGGGTCGCCAAAGCCAAACTGTTTCTAGAAAGGGGAAGGGAGAGTGCAGAGGGATGACGTTAGAAAAGAAGACAAGGAAAGTGGTCGAGTGTTTGGGTTTTACGATGCTGTTGTAGCGCATGCCCAAGACTGTAAATGCTAAAGATTCATTCTTATAGCAGCCTTTTAAATGTGAACTTTTCCAACATTAAAATAGAAATAAGATTATGTAGATCAGGGTTAGGGGGAGGGAGGAAGAAATACAGTTGACCCTTGGATCACACGGGTTTTGAACTATGCAGGTCCACTCATTTTTTTCAGTAAATATAGAAGACCCTCCATGGCCCTGGGTTATGCATCTGTGGATTCAGCCAACTGCAGATTGAAATCTGTTTACGATCTGAGTGGGGAATCTGTGGATGCGGAGGGTCAACTAAAGTCACATGGGGATTTTCAACTCCACTGGATGGGAGCCCCTAACCACCACCACCACCCCGAGTCATTCAAGGGTCAACTGTATTTCAAAGCAAAAGTCAACCAACCCAGTGGTTGAAGTGAGCCACACATAAAGCTGCAAAGGTGTCGAACCAGACTGGTGTCCCATCTGCTCTTCTAGACCATGGTTCGTTCAAGAAAGGAACTGGGTTTCTGTGTGATTTACAAAAACACATTTAGCAGAGCAATTGCGTGGATTAAGTGAGTTATTCCGCTTCTATAATTCATTCTTTTTTAAAATGTGTCTTTATTGTTGAAAGTATTACAGATGTCTCCTTTATAATTCATTCTTAAATAGCAAAGTACTTACCAATTTTAACTCTGTTTTCAAATAGACCTGGGACCAGTGTGAAAAGAAAATCAAAGAGCTGAAAAGCAGGCTGCACGTTTTAAAGGCGCAAAGTAAAGATCCCCTTCCAGAACCTCACGAGGACCTCCAGAGAGAGAAAGAGCTGATCAAGGTATTGAAAGCTGAGGTGGTGCTCACCCTCAGCTTAGCTGAGCTGTTTTCTGGGGATCAAAGTGTGTGTGTGTTTACCTTTCAGTTTCTGTGTGGAAACCAAGTTTTCACATTCAGTCGGAAAACATTTTCCCTTTCATCTAGCAAAGCATCCTGGTCTCTAAAGGAATTAGAATCCATGCTTTTTGAGGTCCACGTGTGAAAAGGAGAGACCTTTGCAGAAATTCACTTCTTAGGATCTCGGGGATTTCTCCTCCTGCCAGCTGGGTCTCCTCTGTAATGGGAGATGTGCCCCCTGAGATGACATGGAAAGCTGTTCCCTTATCAAATGGCCTTGTCTTTGAAATAAGAGTAAAGTATGACTAGAGAGAATTCGTTTTTTAAAAGCCAATAGGTTGAGTTTTTTGCTCAATTACATTTTCATAAACTCTTCCACACTGTATTCTGCCTAATTAATATCACACCAGCAAAAATTTCTACATAGTTCAGGCCTTTGCAGACAGGACAGACTCATGGATGAGAATTTGCATTGCCAACATTCCCAGGCCAGGGACTTCCTGTGTCTCTTCCCTCTTTGCAGGTTTGATGTTTAAAAGACATCAGTAGCCTATTGGAATGTATTTTATTTTTTTTGTTTGTTTGTTTTCTTCCTTCAGTAATTTCAGCAATCATAGTGAAAAATTAGGGAGAAATGAGTAGTCTCATACATCAGGCTATGCTGGCAGTCAGTGTCTTCCTCCCTGCATCGTTATTCTTCATTGTAAATATTCCTAACATGCAAAAACAATTTTTTTTTTTTTTTGGTTAATCCTCCTGTCTGAGGATATTTTTTTCCATTGATTTTTTTAGAGAGGGGAAGGGCGGGAAGGAGGGGGGAGAAACATCGATTGGTTGCCTCCTGCACGTGCTCTGACCAGGGCCGGGAGTGGAACCTGCAACCGAGGTACATGCCCTTGACCGAGAATCGAACCCAAGACCCTTTGGTCCCTGGGCCAATGGTCGAGCCACTGAACCACACCAGCCAGGGCACATGCAAAATATTTTTAACCTAACAAATGATATGACAAACTGCCATGAAACCATCACTTAGCTAAAAAAATAAAACATTACAAATACAGTTTTAATGCCCTGTATGATTTCTAAAGTGCTTCCCCCTCGCCCTGCAGAAGTGTCCACAACGCTGAATTTGTTCTTTTATCATTTTTATGTGCTTCTTTATCATTTTACCATGTGTCCATAGTTCTCAATGAAATATAGAAGTATTACTTTTGTTTTTAAACTTTACATGAACAGCACCATACTATGTAACACATACAGCACAACCTCTTCCCTTCATTAGGATTTTGAGTCGTCAGAGTTGAAACCTATAACTCACTCGTTCTCACCGCTGTGTTGTATGCATTATATCACCTGATGTATAATAGTTGCTGGTGGTGTCTAAAGAAGGTTCCTTACTTACCCCTAATTTTCAAAGTTTTTATCATTTCAACATCTTTAGGTTTAGATCTACACTTCAGTAACAAATGAGAGGTGGTGGAGTCACTCTCGCATTTGATACGTAGAATGTCCTTCCACAAAGCCTAGAAACCAGTGCAGAATAAAAACTGTAAACTCTTAAGGAGACATGATTTTCCCAAGTATCACACTTTGCAGTTTCCAGTAGGATCTTTCAACTTCCATAGCCTCCACATTCTATCTCAGTGGAGGGAATCAGGGAGACAGGCCAAGAGCATGGATTTCATTCAACCCAGGACCATGTTCCAAAAGGCCCTGTGTAACCTGAGGCCTGTCTAGGACAGTGTTTGTCATCCTGAATCACTTGGGGGATATACACCAGCCCCATGACCAGTCTGAGCTGTACTCTCCTCCTCGGAAAATTATATTCCAATTACAGTCAAGTTGCTGTGTGGAATAATTCTGTGTGTGTGTGTGTGTGTGTGTGTAATTTATATATTTTATATACTAGCTTTTCACTATTATCAAAATTGCTATAGTGGACATCTGTGTTCATAAAACTTGTCAAGCAATTGAGTCTTTGGGACAGTTTTTTTTTTAAGTAATTTTTGAATAAGTAATATCATCACACGGTTCAAAATTCAGAAGGTGCAAAAGGTACACAGTACTACCCCCTTACCCACAGTTTCTTTTCCATGGTTTCAGGAACCCACAGTCAACTGCAGTTCAAAAACATTAAATGGAAAGTTCCAGATATTTTGAAAGAGAAAGAAAGCCCAGACCATATTCCCATAACTTTTATTACAGTATATTATTTCAATTGTTCTATTTTATTATTTAGTTATTATTGTTAATCTCTTACTGTGCCTAATTTATAAATTAAACTTTATCATAGGTATGTATGTATAGGAAAAAAACAGTATATATTGGATTAGGTACCATTGGCCATTTCAGGCATCCCCTGGGGTTCTCGGGTCATATCCCCCGTGGTATGTGGGGGCTACTGTACATGGAAAAGCTTTTTCCCAGCAGTTTCTTTCCACAGAAGCAATCAGTGTCACCAGTTTGTTTATATGTTCTTCCAAAGGTAGGCATATATATTACACACATATGCATTCATTCATGTTTTGGGTTTTTTTTACCCAATGGCAGTGTAGAGAAGTAAGCCTTGACAGTCCGCTGGGAGTTGCGTCCACAGTCAGAGGTTTTAATACTGCCATGCTGTGTTAGAGAGTCCAGCAAGGCCTGTGCGATGCGTTACTTCATGTAGCCAAAAAACTTCGTTTTACGTCGTGTATTATATGAACAATTGAATTCTATAAGTATTTTTGTAATATAGACAGTTTAGCTGGTTCCATTAAATAGACACTTACCTGCTGTGTTCTCTTTTGCAGTTAGTTTTCATAGCAAATCTGGAGTATTTTAATCTAAAGAAAGAAGCATGATTTTTGAAATGTGTGTACAAATACTGAGCATCCGCCATAGTAAACTTCCACAATAGATCTTCCTCTATATATTGTATGATTCCTTGCTTTTTATAATTAATATTTACAAACATTTTAGAGCTCTTCAGACAATGCCAAATTGTGTTCCTTTCCATCGCACATATTGATTTCCTATACACCAGGCATTGTGGTAGGTGCTGGGCGATGCATTTGTGAGCAAGGTTGTCATGGCCCCGGCAGTACAGAGCTGACCGTCTAGACGACTGGAGAGACGCATGCTAACCAGAGCCCCACCGTATGCATAGACATGTCTGAGAATAACTGTGAGCATGGGTATTGTTACAGGGAAAGGACCAGGGACCATGCGGGCATAAACAGGGGTCCCACCTCGTCCAGTGACTCAGAAAGGCCTTCTCTGAGGAATTACCTTTGTGTCTGAGATCAGAAAGTGTCAGTAGGACTTAACTAAATATATTTGTGGAAGCATCAGGGTAAAGGAGTAGGTAGCGTTTCAGGCTAGCAATTAAAAAAATACAAACTTAAACAATAACTAGGAATTTTTACACATATTAAACTTGCCCTAAAAGTATATGAAACTGGGCGCCAAAAAGTATGTGGAGTCATTCCTTTGAGGACACATTTTGGCAGTATTTGTTAGGAATCATAAAATATCCATATCCAAAAGTTTTATACCTGTTAATTATCCTTTCAGTTGTAGGAGGAAACCAACCAAGTATCCAAACCAAACAGATTTAAACTTGGCTGTGCCTCCCTACGGTACAGGCGCCTGAGCCTGCATCTCTCAGCAGAGAAACGCTGATCAGTGGCCCTCGGTTTCCTGTAGCTGTCAGGGGGTGGCTTGCCGCCACTTGTGAGTTCCCCTTTATATCATGGAGCTCATTAAAAGTGTTCTGCTGCGTGTCTGCTCTCATCCACTTTACTAGAATCGTGAGGCTCAAACTAAATAACAAAAATTTTAAATAATGATTTTTTTATAAAGATGTTTCCCAGTCTCCATACAACCTTTAAAAAGAATTCTCCAGACCATTTTTATTAGGTGTACATTCTTGTCGGCAAGTTGTGAAGTCATACCAGTGTAGCTTTTAGAGCTCTGAAAATCAGAATTCACACATTTTTATTGTTACCACACTCGGCCCTATTTCTGATGTTAATGGTCGCTTCTTTCAGATTCCTATAGATAGGTGTGAATGGAGACCCTTAAAATGTGCCCAAGTCTGAAGAGTTGTAAGCACAATAAAAATGACTCTGGAACTAGTGATCTTTTCATTGTACTCTAGCTCTTACAGTTATTTGGAAGTGCTCCCTAAATAGTAAGAGGCCATGCTATTAAAAAAAAAAAAAAAAAGACTTGAGTGCTCTGGCTGTTTCCTTTTACCTCCCCTGTTATGAAAGTAATTTTCATGGTGTGTTTTTTTCTTTTTAAAAAAAATTTTTTTTTCCATCACCATTTATCCCCCCATCCCCTCCTCTGCCTCCACCCACGAAACTAATTTTCTTGATTAAGTCCTAGAATTCAAAAAGCTTAAATTTGACAAATAATCTATTTTTTTTTTTAATGTCTCCAGGGCCAGAGGAAATTTTCTGCTAACCAATCTCTGCCAATGTTTAGGGTACAATTTATTTTTTTCTTCCATTATATTTAACTTTCTAAAGTTAACCAGAATCAATCCCTTTGAACAGGAGCTGCTGTTCCGTGATTGCCACGGTAGCAACTGCGCGTTTCTCAGGTGTTTTTAAGAAGGGGAAGTCCCACTTCTACATTTCTGTGACATAGTTTCAGAATTAAAAGTGTGTGTGTGTGTGACTTGCTTTCCTCTAAGTAAAGGTAAAGACCAACAGGACTTTAAAGCGAACTACCTGAGAAAATGAAAACAGAGGCAGGAGAGTTTCCTCCGGGGAGCGGAGCGGCGGCGGGGACCCGGCCGGGGACAGCGCC